ATCGATAATTTGGCCCGTTCGAAAGTTATCGATAAAACTCGATAGAGAAATCGGGTTCGCTTAGGTTTAAAGAGTCAATTTTGGCATTTATCTCGAATGGTTAAAACAGATCAATTATCTTTTTTTTATGACTAGGGATAAGCCGCTTTAGTAGAAGAAGAGGGTTCAGGGTATGCCCCTTAGCTTGTTAATTAATTGCCAAGTGATTTTATTATGCCAAATGCTATTTGGTTTCATATAGACATTTCCTTGAACATATATACCGAACTTATTTTTTTAGATTCTCTTCAATACACAAGCATATCTATATCATATTGATGGCAACTCATTTATGACATCCAAACGTGGATGTTCGAGCCCGATTGCCCAAAGTCAAACCAAATGAACTTTCTATGCGTGCAACATTATCGGAAAGCCTTCAACATGATTTGATTGCCAGTTCCATGTCGGCCAAACTATCCAATATTTTTCTTTGGTTAAATGGCGTTGACCAACACTTGATGGCCTGCTGGCTTTTCATGTTTCTTGCGTTTTGCGTTTACGAATTTGATTTCAAATTCGAATTCGAATTGAATGTGGATGTGCATGTGAATTTGGGTTTTTGTTTTCGTTTTCCACACAAGTTCATTATAATGCTGTTGGCATGTTTATTATGTTGATTATGTTTTATGTGGTGCTCTCGTGGGACTAGCTCGCTTTTGACATTATTTTTTCCCATACCCTGCACCCATTGAAAATGGTTTAAGGAAGGGCATGATAGCTGACGGCTCTGTCGACTTCTTTAGAAATTGGGGACTTGAAATTTGGAGCATAGATTCCGGCATATCATATGCAGCTTTAACGGGTTTTATAGTATCGCAGTTATCAATTTCTATAGATACTAACTCGAAGACTTTAATGTCTAGATACATGAAACTTGGTATGAAGGCTCCTGCATAACATATTCATAACAGAATTCAATCACTTCTGGGAATATCTCACCTTGTTCTTCCCAGAATTGAAAAATTTGAGCATAGAATAAGTAGCGCAAGCCTAGGCACAGGGTATCTACCGGTCGGACCAGCTCACTTTTACGCGCATTTTATTGACCACCCCAGAAACCCAAATCAAATGAAGTGCGTGCGCATGGACTTAAGTTTCGGCCTGACTTTGGCTCTGACTTTGGCGCTGACTTTGGGTCTGGGTCTGGGTAATCGTCAACCGAAGCGTCAACTAGGCGCTGTCTAGGCTATTTGCGCGCTTGGCCTGGTCATTGGTCATTTGACATGCCATTGGCTTGGCATTCACACTGTTTGATTGCCCGATCATTATCCCAAATGATGTTATGTGGACTGGGCTAATGATTGAAGATGATGTCGCTGGCCGTTTTGCTCGACTCGTTGCTGTCCTCCAATTCTTGGCACGATCTTGAAACTCGATCGGTTGGCCCTTTTTTCTATTTTTTTTTTCTATTATTTTTTTTGTTCGTATAATTGCCCACAAGAGCCATAAATTAATTACTAAAACGGTTTTCCCTTCTCCCCCTCCGCAGCGGGCCTCTTTAAACAACTGCCCAGAAAATCGAAAGTTAATTTTTATTTAATTTACGATCAGTTGAGTGCACACCACTTGCCCCACTGCGTGTGTGTCCCCTAAGGTCGATCGGTTCGAGATACGAGATCTCAGTGCAAGCCCTGGCTCCCTCTCTCTCTCTGTCTCTGTCTGTCTGTCTCTGTCTATATTTGTGCCTCGAACGCTTTGTTTATTTTGCTTGCCAAATTGAAAGGCTACTAACAAGAAAATACGAGCACACAAATTAATTGTTCTAAAGCGACACAAACATATCAAACGTCTCCAGACATTGAAGACCTTCAACGTTCGCTGTTTTCCAAGGTTTATTGTCTGTGGGAACATGTTGCCACAAATTATAGAAATTAAGCTTAATCAGCGAAGAGCCGCAACTATTTCCTGTCAAGTGCGGATCGCATTTGAGGGCTGATGCTGTCTTCCTTGAAAAGCCGATCGTAGCTTGATCCAACTAAAAAACTAACTTATGCGCATAATTAACATCTTTCTCGTTGTTAGAGTTGACTTTACTCACAGTCCGATCATCAGATTTTGTCTTAGAATTCTTTGTGAAATAACAGAATGCATTTCACCCCAAGTTTCTGATTAGCGATCAATTTGAACTGTTTAAGACATTCGGTCTATGTTGTCTCTGCCGTCTCTTACAAGCATCGATCGGTTCCATCTGCAGCAGACTTTCGCTCGAAACCTTAACTCGTTGCGAATTTTAAAGCGTCAAGCGACAAACATTAACGAACTGAACAGAATCGTTTAACCCACTTTCGACAGGCAACTTTTTATAGCCTGAAACCATGGGAAACAATGCAAATATAACATGCATAAGTAGATGAATAATACTCTCTCCCAAAATTGGTGGGCTCATTTTGGAAGCAAGGCCTCGCTCTTTGGTTTGTGCACAAATTTGGATGTCAGACTCAAGTCCTGATAAGGATCATAAGAATTGGACAATAAGCACCGAAGTTTTTCAAGAACCCATTTCAAAATCCAGCTGAAGCATAAATCGTGATACAGTTGAATATTTATGAAATGGAATTATGTGTGGATGTTGCTTCTTATAATTATACAGTATTATGCAAGCGATCTATAAAGGATCTATAAAGTGCGATCGTTAGATTTCGTTTGCTGATGAGCTTCATCTATTACCTCAATACCTAATTACCCAATTTATCATCTTTCCGCAAGTGTTGAGCTGTCTCTCATCCATTAGCTGTTCCTCGGCTGTTTCTGCATGTGTCGATCATTGTCTGGAAATTTGTGTGTGTGTGAAAGATCAAATCGTTTTCAATTAGGCCAAGAGGTCGAACTGTGGTTTCTCATAGGGTAATCAGAGGCTAATCAGCCGAACCATATATTTACTATATAGCTGCTATATATATGTTTGTGTTTCTCAAGATATCTTAGCCAATTAAACATCGAACTTCTAAATAGTATAATGCAAAACTTATCTCTTTCCCAATATATTCGCACTTCTCTTCAGCTAGTTCTCTTTAAGGGTATTCAATTGTCGGCGTGTGTATTCGTTCTCCTTCTATTTTACCTGCCAGGGGAGTGGGGCACGGGCTGGGGAGTAGAGCATCTAAAAGCGGCAGCAGCCAAACAAACAATCACATCAACAACAACAACAACAACAACAACAACGACAACAACAATATTAGTGCGCGTAATGATGATGATCAATGAAACTAATAAACAACAACAACAACAATCGACAACCGACAGCAGCAACAACAGCAACAACAACAACAACGCCAACACTCATGCCGGAAATTGTAGAACGTGTTTATGCCACATTTTCAAGTTGTTGAGCCACGCACAGACAATGCGTCAGAGCGTCGGCCCGAGACATGCGTGCCAAACAGATACAGATACAAATGTATCTATAAATGCAGATATATATATATGAATATATATACATATATGCCTGTATATATATATATAGATGCACAGCTACAGATGCATCTATAAAATCCCACTGCGGATGCAGTTTGCACAGTAGCCAACAACAACAACAGCAACAGCAACAACAGCAACAACAACAGCGACGATAAGAACAACAACAACAACATGCAACCTTTTGAGTAACAATATGCATGCCACAAAGAGGCATGCAACGCGTTGGGCGTTAAGGAAATTTCTGATAGTCGCCGTTGCGTTGGCATTTCGAATGCCCTACACGAGGCGAGAGAGTGAGAGAGACCGTGCGAGGGAGAGAGAAAGGAAGAGTGTGTGTAATCGCAAATTGTGTACTACGATAAACGATAAACGTTTGCAAATGCGCCTTTTTCAGCACGTGCCCATCTGCATTGGCATGCTAAAAGATACAAAGATACAAATTGTATCTTTGTATCTGCGATTGCGCTTCGCACAGCTAACTTGTTAAGCCCGAACCCATTAAAATTCACCAAAGAGAGGGTATCACCACGAGCCGTCGATCAAGAGACGAGAAATTCCAAAGCTAGGGAAGAAGAAGATAATATCGACCAATATATCCTGCTATTTACATAATATCGATAAATATCGATTTTGAGACTTGTTGCAAGATTCAGATATATCAAAACTGTTCTCCTTCAGCATAGAATGCTTAAGATAACATCACTTTTCGTATGCCTTCATAGTTAGAGCATTAGTTAGAGCAAACATCCAAGCATAACTAATATCTAGAAGGAAGAGGAAGCACAGCTGCTAAACAAATGTTTTTTTTTTTTAAGTTTTTGTTGTATAGAAGTAGACTTAAAAAGGGTATCTTTTAGTCAGAGCACACTTACTTGTTGTTGACGCTGTTATTTGGATCCTCCAACGTGCGAAACGCACACACACACACACGCACACACACACACTCGTTTCGCTCACGCATTGACGCGCACGCTGAGCTCCATTCATAAATTCTTCATTCAGATTTGGTTGGTTCGCTCGTTCAGTCTGCAGATCACGTGCGTGCTATCAACTTGGCCAAGCAGTGGGCAGCTGGGGGAAGCCAACTAACCGGGTGCGATGGGGCTTATGTTGGCTAAGCGAGGAGGGCGGGGGGCAGCGACTGGCCAGGGGGTATACCTAACGAAACGTGTGCGCCCAACCACGTTGGGCAGTTGACTGACCCGTTTCGCTGCCAACTGTTAATGCACTTATTCAGATATTTACGACTCTAAAAGCGCACACAAATATACCTCTTCATGTATATATATATATTTATGTGCATATATATATCACGAGTTGTCAAACACAGGGCATGGTCGCCCCCATCTGCAGAGACAAGTCGTGCCGCACTTTGAGCTGCATTCGAATTAGTTTTCCGGTTGATATCCATGCATCAATTGGATTGATCGTCTTACGCGTGCGTGCTGCATATTAAATATCCAGTATAATCCTACATATATATCTAAATATATATATATATATTACAGTTAAAAATAATTGAATTTCTTTTTTATTTGCAGGTGTGTTTTTTATGCGTCGCGCGGCAGGCGAAGCAGAAGAGGCGACATGCGCAACAAGTGCAACTGCCAATGCAACCAGTTACAATGTAAGCAACAATTCGATAATCAATTACAATTAGTTTCTCTATTTATCGATTTTGTATCAACAAGCTATCGATTTCTTATCGATAACTACAAGAATTTTTAATTAGTTCGCATTACCTCCGAACGCGTCGTTGGCAAACGAACAATTTCAATTATTCTGCTACGATTTAAAAGTATTCTATCAAAATTTTCATCATTCAATTACTTTGCAGCTGTTTGCTATAATTTATCGATAACTATTTCGATTACTAGCAAAGCACATTGATTTTAACAATAGTTTTTGCCTGGGGTGTAAATTTAGGTCATCGACAACTACGCATATCTTAACTAATTTTCTATAAACGCCATCGAGGGAAGCTTGAATTCTCAATTTTAGCTTATTCAATAATTCAAGACAAATTTTCACTAAACCTATCAATTAGCGGCACATTTATCGACTTGTCAACATTATTGTTTTTTCGACGTGTTGAAATTGTTCTTCATTTTCACATTTTCTGGTGTTTGTTATTTAAATGTGGCGTTAGGTAGGGCATATATTGAGAAAGTTTTATAAAAATAGCGTCCAATATGTAAAGCCAAGAAAGGCTATAAAACAACGTTTGCACAACCAAATTTTAAAATCGATACAAAAATTAATAGATATCGATTATTAGTGCATGTATCGATATCCCACATGGATTATTTTACATGTGGGCTATTTATTCTACATGTGGGCTGTGCTATCGATTAATAGACATTTTTCGACTAAAATTTCGATTATAGATACGTTACCTAGAGTATAGCTTTGGGAATGTCGCTTGCAAGCCTGGACGAACTTTAAAATCTGATATTAAACCCAGAGCCATACTTGATAAGTTCATATAAACTATTGCTAACTTATCGACATACTGCACATAAATTATCGATAACTTATCAATATAATTACTGCGAAAATTTCATGTTTGCTAATTAATTAGTAGAGCAGAAATAGTTTAAATTCTTTTGCTGAGCTATGAGTTTGACTTTGAACCTTTGAGGCGCCACCATGGCCTGTCTCTGACGCAGCTTAGACTTAGCTTGGATAGCAAGTTGAGAGCTGACCTCGTTATACTTCTCTCTAGCGTCCGTTCGTCTGTCTGTTTGCCTCATTGTCTGTCGCTGCAATCAGGCCGTAAATGGTTAATTAACAACAACGCATAACTCTCACCTGACGCAGCGCTCAGCCGAGCGGTTGCACCATGTCTAATGCAACCAAATGCCAATTATGTCCATGTCCAAGTCCAGACCCGCATCTCGGATCTCAAGCTCGAACTCACTCTGTTGCCATCTCTGTCTGTCCTTCCACTTCTACTTCTACTTCTCTTTCCGTCTCTATTTGCTACTATTGTTACACTTCTTGCTCTCTCAGTTAGTTCTTGACTAAAGTGTTATTGTTCTTGTTATTTGATATCAGGCAATTGTGTCACAGCTCTGGATCTGGTTCCAATGGCCACTGTCAGCATGTCCAATGCCATTTCTCATTGATGTATCTGTATCTGTATTTGTATCTGTATCTGTATCTGTATCTGTATCTGTATCTGTATCTGTATCTGTATCTGTATCTGTATCTGTATCTGTATCTGTATCTGTATCTGTATCTGTATCTGTATCTGTATCTGTATCTGTATCTGTATCTGTATCTGTATCTGTATCTGTATCTGTATCTGTATCTGTATCTGTATCTGTATCTGTATCTGTATCTGTATCTGTATCTGTATCTGTATCTGTATCTGTATCTGTATCTGTATCTGTATCTGTATCTGTATCTGTATCTGTATCTGTATCTGTATCTGTATCTGTATCTGTATCTGTATCTGTATCTGTATCTGTATCTGTATCTGTATCTGTATCTGTATCTGTATCTGTATCTGTATCTGTATCTGTATCTGTATCTGTATCTGTATCTGTATCTGTATCTGTATCTGTATCTGTATCTGTATCTGTATCTGTATCTGTATCTGTATCTGTATCTGTATCTGTATCTGTATCTGTATTTGTATCTGCATCTGTGTATTTTAATGAATCTGCATTTATCTTTATGTGCACTTACATCTTCTACTACAGCTGTAACTCTGCGCAGCTAATCTTATCAAGCTTTTGGTTAGATCTGAACAGAGACTGTCTTACAGCTGATTTTTCAACTTGTGCATCTTTAGATTGTCAGGCACTTGACTCTGCATGTGGCAAATTTGCTCATGAAGAAACTGTTACGCTTCGTGTGCATCCCATATGGCCATACGTATGGAATAGAGATTTTTTATGCTATGCCATTCCCAGTGCTGTAATACTAGCCCATATATCATGTTCTGCTGCGCTCTAAAAATCCATTTTATTTTTTACTAGAACTACACGAAGGTAACCAAAAGGGTCGTGGAAAAAATAGTAAATGAAGGAGTTATGTGAGAACTATTTAAAAATTTCTAAACTCTTTGTTAAGCTGCAAAGTATTTTTTATATAAAAAGCAAACAATAATCGGGTAGAAGAATCTTGAATGCCCAGATACCAAAAATGCCTTAGGTGTGTGTGTGTGTGTTTGGCATTTCATAAAGCGCATAAATCTTTGCATATAAATTAAAGGTCGTATCAAATTGGGTTCTGCATAAGTTGAAAGCTGTAAAAGGATTCCTGGAAACGTGTCTCGGTCGTTCGTTCCTCGTTGTTGGGGTGTCGCTCATAATCCTGGCCCGATAAAGTGCCACAAGCCGAGGCGACGCAACGGCATTAAGCCTGATTAGGTTCGCGCGGACACCAAAAGGCCAAAAGGCAACAGCAGCAAGCAAGCACATCGAAGATTAAATACCCTCTTGAGACGAACTTGCTGATATGTGAGGAGAATAGTAAAGCTCGCGATTGCTCAGTCTGTTTCATATCGATCGATTCTTTCCGTAATCCGATCGTTTCCAGGCAGCAAAGTTGCATTAAGACTCATGACACAATGAAAATGCCCGCGGCTAGGGTATTATAGTACAAAAGTCTTAAGCTGAAAGAAAGGCAACAACACAAGAGTTGAAGAGCATCGGCAACGGCAAAAGCCAAACGAGGCAACGGCCAAAGAAAACAAAAGTAAACCTGTACAAGTTCAAGGTCAAGTGCGGGTCTGCCGCACACAGCTGCAGATACACCGAAGAGGCACAGGCACAGATACAGATACAATGTTTGAGATGCGCAGCTGCGTTGCCGGACAGCGTTCAAGCTAACAACTTGAGCTCAGAACGGCAACAGCAACAACACAAAAGGCCACTCTTGAGTTTGCCGCCTTGAAGCGGCGTCTTGAGCCCAGTCGAGCCGAGCAGAGCCGAGACGCTGCGCTCGTTTATCTTTGGCCAAGTCCCGCACTTACACGTTTCGCTTATGCTTAATGAAAGCCACTCCAAGAAGTTAGAAACAGCTACAACAACAAGAACAGCATTTACAATAACATTAACAACTCCTACAAAAAGCTACATTTGTTTTTAATACCCTGCCCCAATTTAGAGTAGTGTATTTTGGTTCTATGGAAATGTATGCAACAGGGAGAAAAACGCATCTTCGACCGCATAAAGACACCTTCATTTTGCTAGCTAAAAAATCGATATAAAGTACTATCTCTTACGCAGAACGAGCTTACGCGTAACTCGAAGTCTATTTAAGCTTATTTTAGATTAGAAATATTTCAATTTGCTAGTCGCCAACTAGAGGGTATCTTCTAGTCCGGCACTGCCGCCTTAAGCAGTCTTACTTGGCCGCAGCAAGTCTTGCCAGGCAGCTGGCTACCACCCAAGCAGCCAGTCGATTATTTATCGCGCGGATAACGCGAACGACAGTTACAGATACTCGAAACAGACGCAGCTACAGATACAGCTACAGCTACAGCTAAGGCAAGAGATACAGCTACACTCGAAAATAAACGTGTGCCCCAAAAACAAAATCAAAAACAAAAACAAAACCTCTGCACCCTGCTTTATCCATTTGCTTGTTATTCTCACAACTCATTACGCAAAGAAGAAATATTTTAAACTAAATATTAATAAATAAGAGAAGGAACTTGGAAATTGAACCACACGCCAACAGGCTACACTGCGCAAAATTCCAGATTTGTTTCCCAAAACAAATTTCACTCTCTCCCTCTGTTACTATCTTTTAACTATCCTCTCTCTCATGTTGCTGTCAATGTGCCTGTCAGGTTGTCAGCTTGTCAGCTCGTCGGGAATATTTGTAAGCTATGTGGCAACGCCGCTTTGTTATGCTGCTTCCTTTATGCCAGGTGGCAGCTCCCTCGACATTGTAGCTGTTTCTGAACTGTCTGCTTAATTTTGATGGGAAGCAATTCGAGTTTGACAGCATGTTAAATTATTGGATTGATACAAAGTAAATAAATATAAAATTAAAGCTTTCAAATACCAGAAACACAAGCAAAAAAATTCAAAAAAATGTCACGTTTAAATGAAAATCACACTTAAACATCTCAAATTAGGCTTAAAGCCTATAATTTTTCTCCATAATTTAAGATCTTTGAGTTTTCTGTTTCAGCTCACAGTCAGATTGAGGTAAGGGCATACAAAAGTGGGCTTAAACATTGTGAAAATAAAAAGCAAATATAAACAAGTAAGGAGCTACCGAACATCAAAAGTCAGTCGCATTAACATTGTGGCTTTAATTCGCAGGCAATACAAATTGGTTTATTTACTTGATTTATAGCGGGGAGCTGACGATAGCTACAAAATGAAAGATACTTAATATACATATATATTCTATTCTAGAAGCTTCATGTCAAGTTTGGCGACTATAGCTTTTGTAACTCACGAGATTTGCTCTAAGAACACGTATTCGATATCGATTATTATCGTTTACTTGGAAACGGGACAAGTTATCGATTACCGATCGACTAGATCGACTTGGCTGATCAAGAATATGCATATGCTAACTTTATGGGGCTGGAAATGGTTCCTTCCGCACAAATACATAATGCCCGCTTTACCCATTTTTGCTGGATACAGGGTATTA